TTAGAGGAGAATACTGAAAGTACCATGGGCTGCCAAAAGAACCAAAAGATCTGTGTTGGAGGAAGTGCAGCCAGAGTGCGTTTTGGAGGCCAGGATGGCCAATCTTCATCTCTCGTACTTCAGACATATTGTCAGGGGGGACCAGTTGCTGGAGAAGGATATCATGTTTTGTAACATGGAGGGTCAGAGAAAAAGAGGAAGACCCTCAACAAGATGGACTAGCCAAGTGGCAGCATCGATGGACTCAAGCATGGCAACAATAGTGAGGTTGCCCCATGATCAGGCAGTGTTTCTTTCTGCTGTACATAAGGCCGCTATGGGTCGATACTGACTCGATGGCACCTAACAACAACAATAACATTATGTTATTTTTTTTTAACTTTATGTTATTTTAAAAGAAAATTATTTACAGATATTTTAGGTAATCCTGAAATTAAGAAATCATTTTATACTCACATTGCTGACTTAATACAGAATTTTCTAAATGAGTCTGAATCTCTTGAAGATAATTTGAAGAAACCCAGAGGAAAAGGATAGCATGACTCCTTTTACTGGGGTCATCATCCTTATTTTTCCATACCCCGAACCTCTTCAAATGCATGGTATCCACTAGCAATGAAACCTCGTGGACGGACACTGAAATAAATAAAATATAACAACTTGTGAAAATTGATAATTCTTTGGTATACTATTTTTCAAGAAGATTATATATGCAAAGTGCCTCCAGACTACTTCATTAACTTAACTGAAGTACAACCTCCCGTCCAGCAATATTAGGGTAAAAAACAATACAAAACAAATTATAATTTAGGATAAGCCCTTGACCAAAAAGGTGGTTTCAACCACAAGATCGGTGGTCCAAATTTAACAGCCACTCCTTGGAAACCCTCTTAGAGTTACCATGAGTCAGCTACCCTATTCAGAGTTGCTGTGAGTCAGAACCAGCTCAATGGCACTTAACAACAATTATTTATTCAGGAGCCGTGGTGGCACAGTGGTTAAGTGCTCAGTTGCTAACAAAAGATCAGAGGTTCAACCCACCAGAAGTTCCACCAGAGGAAGTTGTGGCCATCTGCTTCCCTAAAAGTTTAGTCTTGGAAATTCTGTGGGGCAGTTCTACTCTAAGTCAGAATAAACTTGATAGCAATGGCTGGGTTTAAATGCTTGTTAAATTCACGAATTTTGTCTTTTCTACCATATGATTTCAGTTTTATCCAAGAAAATTTTTAATTAAAAAATTGGACAGCAAAAATTCACAAGTACAAGAGATTTTCACTATGAGTTGTTGATGTCACTAGCAAAAGGGAAATGATGGAGCATACAGTTTATCACTGCAGAAAAGTAATTATTTGTACAATTGGAAAGCAATATATTTCTACCCTGGTCAATACTACAAACTGAAACTCCATGGATTTTCATAAGTCAATTTCTGCCAATCTTTCTAACTAATACTTCCCTTAATCCTCTAAAACATCTGCATTCCACTACATACACTGGTCACTGCTGAAAGACTCTCAAGAATAATTTAAATTTCTAAAATGGTCTACAAATGCATTTCTTCTAAAATAATTCCAGTTTTACTTCTCAAAACTTCCAGGTAATCTGTACACAGGGTTGATAGGGATGGGCATTTTAGACACTGGCTACCTAAAATGGCAGGAGCTATAAAGGCACGAAGTGGCTGGTTTACAAGCTTTCAAGAGGGAGTTTAGTTTCAGAGGGTGCAGGGGAAGGTAGAATCTCCACTGAGTGGTTTTCAACCTGTCTAGACAGAACTGGTGAAAGGAGATGGGGCTAAGACTCTTGTGGTTCAATAGTGAGTAATTGTTAATCATGACTGATTGCGACTGTTGCAACTGTAAAGGTAGACGTTTTGTAGCAAAAAGAGAGGAGTGGTTGATCTTGAAGTCCAGGAGTGGAGGACCCTGGGACCATCAAAGGACAAGAGCGGGAGAGGAGTATGGGACCCTATTCAGAGAAGCAGCGACACCAGAGATGGAGTGGCTAGGGACTCTAGACTCATGGAGGGAGAGGGACTGTGTGCCAGTTGCTGGGGGCCAGGGTATGCCCTTTGGTTGTTTGAATGATTGCATATTCCGGAGTGTTTTGGTGTACATCCAAAAAAAAAAAAAAAAAGTCCAGGTAATCATTCCTTCATAGTGAGTTAATGGACTTATTTATCTCTGACAACCTGTTTTAAGTTGGGAAAACACATACACAAGTAGACAAACGGTTTAAATAAGTTCTAAAGGTCATTTGGTCTAAAGCGAAGAAAGCAGCTGAACCAAGAATACAAATATCAATTAAATATAAGCTAAAGTTGGGTGCTTATTTGAAACAAATCTTAGTTTTCCTCTCCCTTTATCTATTGGCACCTTGCTACATAAAGTGCAGTCCTTATACCAATGACAATGGCATCATCTCAAACTTGTTTAAATGCATAATTTCAGGTAACACCTTACTTAGATATACTAAATCAGAATCGTCACTGTAACAAGATAGTCAGATGATTCATGATTCGTGTCAACATTAAAGTTAGAAAATAATTTTACAATGTGCATTCAAATACTTGATTTACCAGTCACCTTTAATGTTCCGAGCCAGTCATTCTATTAACTTATACCTTAACGCCTCTTTTCTCAAAACTGGCAGCAAAGACTAACATATTAAAGGAAGGGTGAGAGCCCTCAGCAAAACGTATCAATATCTCTTCCCCATGCAGCTCACAGACCCAGAGATACATTTAATATTAAATCTGTGAGATCTACTTAATAATCCAACTGCTTCAGACATCTAATGCAGAATCTAATGTTTAATAAGATTACTTCAAAAAAATTTCCTTAAAAAAGAAACTTTAACACCATCATGAAAAGAACTGACCTCATTACCAAACTGTGTCCCTAAAAAAGTTTTTTTCCCTGTATATAGTTAAGGCAGATCTAAAAATGGGAGCCCAAGGACAGCGTGGTATCCTAACCAGAGAAGCAGTGATACCAGATAGAGGCAGGTGATGGCATTGAGAGAGCAGCCGAAGACTCTAAACTCATGGAAAGAGAAAGGCTGTGAGCTAGCGAGCAGGAGGCTGGCTTGCAAAATGTGTCCTTTGGTTGTTTAAATTATTATATATTCCTGTGTGTTTTCTGTACATTAAAAAAAAGGGGGTGAGAAATAGATGCAAATGCTGTTGACCAATGATGCATGGAAGGGATTATAATCATTGCAATGAAACAAAATACAATTGATTGAGTGCAAAACCAATATTCTGCCATGCAAACTATCACTCAGTTCAAAATAAAAGCTTAAAAAAAAAAAAAAAAGAAGAGTGTGCCCTTCAGACCCTGAGAACCCTGTGCATAGAACTTCCACAGAGCAAGCAAAATTGAGTGACTTTGGGTAAGAGGCTTGCTTTAGAGCTGGTACCTAGTGGAGCAAGAGTCACAGGCCTTCAGGCTAAGGCTTATTTATAGTGGAGTGGTATGTCCTGTGGGCATTCAGCAGCAGCCCTAAAATATGCTAGAGCAGGACAGAGGGCAGACTAAGGGGCAGAAGGCCAGAGAGCTGACTACCGGTGGGCATAGTAGAGGAGAAGCTATCCTGGACAGAAGAAACGTGCCCTGCTCATTTCTGACCCTGAATTTTAACAAATTAACTTCCCTAATAAACCCATACCTTTGAGTTGGTGTCTGAGTTCTGTGCGGCCATTGCAATGAATTATCCAAACCAGCTGAGTAACGAGAGCTGTGGGAGGCATGATGAGTGCCATTTTTTGGTAAGACTATCTTCTATTGCTTATTATTTGTTTTTGTCATTATTTACACTGGAAGAATTTTAGTAGGGTAGAGAAGTGTAGGCAGTCTGAGTTAGTAGTCTGAGTTTTAGGTACATTTTCTTGTCTACTTCACCTACTGTGGTGCAATGATTAACTTGATATGGCTTTTCTAGCCATTGTCTTTCTAACTCCCACTAAATGACTAGGTGGGACCATGTAGATTGGGTATAATCCCTCTTTCCCTGATGTGTCTGGTTAAGAGAAGGTGGGGGAATATGCTGCTAGGATTATATGATTCAATTGTGAGTGATTGTTATCAGAGCTCATTCTGATGGTAAAAACTTGGAACTCTAACATAGGGATTGGTCAATTTTGGCATGCTGCTGGGTATAAAATGAGACATCTCAGAAGCAGGAAAAGAATCTCCCTACCATCAAGAAAGAAGAGCCAGGAAGAAGAGATAGATGCATGTGAACTTGAGTGGCAGAGAGGGCAATATAAAAGAAGAGAAAGGTTGGCAGAAGAATTATGAAGGTAGGTGAAGACACAGGGAGGTATGCTTAGGCTAAAGGTAATAGAGGTAAATAAAGATATATGCACAGATTTAGAACAACAGTGTTGTGTGTGTAGATACATAGGTGAGACATAGGCTGAGTGGGTATGGGAGGAAGAGTGGGATATATATATATATATACATCCCACAAATACATGAGTTTGAAAGTGGGTATTTGTACATGGGCAGCCACAAATGTTGCACATGGTACAAATGTTGCATGAAAAGGTTTGCAATCATTAAGATGAAACAAAGTGTATGATTTGTTGAATGTAAAACTGATGATGTTGTCTATAAACCTTCACTCAATTCACAATAAAAATTGAAACAAAAAGAAAGGAGAGCCAAGGGTGGAACATAACCCTTGGTCCCAAGATCCTTGCTCAAAGAATATCCTCTATCTAGGAAACAGAGGGCTGTGAAGCAGAGATGTGGAGAAAACAATGGCTACAACAGCACCAAGAGCACATGACAGGGTGATGGGCTGCTCAATCCAAAGAGTGAGTAAAGTTAAGTATCTTCAGGCAGAAGACTCACTTGCGTAATAGGGTGTCTCCAGACACTTAATTGGTGGAGCTAAGTTTGCTGACCCATGGATCTTTATGGTGGAGTGGAGTGTCCTTTGCACAATTCTCAGCAATGCTATGAAGGATATTCCTAATATCCTTCTCAGCCTGAGCAGGGCAGAGACGAAGGACAAGAGAGATGTGGGTTGCAGGCATACCTGAGAAGAGGCTGTCCTGACCAGAAGAACAGTATCCTGAGCATTTCAGATGCTTAATTGTAACCCATTAATTTCCTTAAGAAACCCCAGAATATGAGTACAGTCTATGAGTTCAGTGTGGCCAGTGCAATGGATTATCAAACAAGGCAGAGTAGTAGAAAATGCTGTGGGAGGGACAGTTGGCAAAGAAGGTTGGAAGGTGGAGGCATGTCTGACCTCCACCTCATAGGAATCCACAAAGGGATGATAATGATGATGATATTCTCCTCCTTTACTCTTGTGAGGCCAGAGGAGGTCAGACATCACTCCCATGCTATTTGAACACCTATCCAGACAAAAAAATGAAACAACAATCTCTTTTTATCTTCTATGCATAAACATTTTACATTATACTTCTTTCCTTATAGTTCTAATTTTCATACCTGTTTATATATAAAAATATTTTTGCTTTCTATAAACTTTATTTTTTGTTAATCCCAAGAAACCGTAAGATAATTCAACTTTAAGTTATTAAAACATTATTATGGTATGAGTATTTTCAGTGTTTTAAAATATTTTACCACCGTTTGAAGTGTTAAATTCTAAACAAAAAAATTATAGAAAACTTGACTGCAAAAACATTTCACAACTCTTGCTAACCATTTATTTATACTTAAAGTTAGAGTAAAAAGAGAAGGTAATAAGAGAATGATCGCTTACCTTGAAATGGAATCTTAACATACTTTGTCGTAAACTTTAAAGAAAAATAAAGAAATAAAAAATTATTTACTACTCAAAACATGCTACTATACAAAAGCATTTTTTAGTTTTATTTTCCAAATCACAAGTATGTATTCAAAGTCTATACTAAAAGTAAGCAAGTCCTTTTATCAATAAACCATGAAAATGTTTTGCTGCAAATACTATTAAGTGTTAATGGAAGTTTCAGAATTCTGAACAATTTAAATTTTACTATGTTTATTCGTAAAAACCAAAAATACTTTACTTTTTAAAATGTGTTCTAAAGATTTAAAGAATAAGTGAGACCAAATCAAATTATATCTAGAAGAAACTGCCAAGAGTCTTCAAAATGGTACTGATTTTTGTAAATATACCACAAGGGAGTTTGATTCTTGGCTTTGTACTCAGAAGCTGACAGCTCAGCAAAAGTGATCATTCTCTTAAGGATGAACTCACAATAACCAAGCTGATACTGCTGAATAAACCAAAATGCAGTATACATATACATGTTTTATATTGTTTATAGTGAGAAATTAACATGTCAAAAAAGCTTAAATTGTGCCCTGACATGAACATTCTGTTTTTAATAGAAAAACTACCTATGAGTCCAACTACAATCAAAGGTTGCTTTTACCACAGGAAAGCAGAACAAAAGGAATCAGTTAATTACTTACTGCCAAAAAGCTACAAAAAAATCTAACTTCCTAACAGTGATGCTTTGTGAAAATATGTCTAGAAGCCAGAACATTCTCTTCCATAGATAACCTGAAGATGAGTACTGCCAACTCTCTTTCATCCCTAGCATTCATCTTTCCGTGTTGCATGCTATGGATTCCCTACATAGCAAGGTTCTTGCCCTTTCTACTTTCTTTAAGTGTTAATTTACAAGTTGCTTTGATAGTAAGCAATTAGCTGGGATAGGAATCTTAGATGTCCTATATAAAAATAAGATAGGAATCTTAGATGTCCTATATAAAATAGACTTGCACTTCAAAGTTTGTTTTTCTGTTCATGCCAAATGAATGTGTACCTATTAATTAATTCAGTTCTTTGGTTAAGTCTTTCTTTTGATCAACACAAGTATGACATCTTTACTACATCACAGTTATAGTCTCAGAACACAAAATCAAACAGAATATGAGTACCTAAATTAACTATCAACAGACTGTCACATAAATAGCACAGAATGTTCAGTGAAAAAAGAGGTTTATTTGACTTCATTCATTTTATCAATTTAAATTTTATTTCATGTTGTAGTTTTGGGAAAAAAATAAAACACTAATATTCCAATAGTGTAAATCAGTCACTAAGGCAAAATGTGACTCAATAGAGTATATTTATTAAAAACCATGAAACTGGAGTTAAAATCCTGTCTCTATTGCTTCTAATACTTACATTAAGTAGGTAACCTTAGGTAACTTATAGAACTTCTCTGTTTTAGTTTCCAAATCTGTAACAAGCTATGTTGTTATAAGTTTTTACAGAGATGGTATATTTAAAATGCTTAGAACTAGGCCTATTCAAGAATCAAGGGCAATCATTGTTGTTGTGGTTGCTGTTAAGCGCTGCTGAGTCACTTCCAACTCATAGCGACCTTGTATAGGAGTTCCAAGTTTGAACTACTGATCTTGTGACTCAAACCGCCTTTATCTTGCAGCACTACACCAGGTATCCAGACACTAGCATTTGATTAAGAATTTTCAGTCATCTAGCTCAATTTAATAAAATAAATTCAGTCATTTGCAAATAACTGCCACATATACTTTGTGTGTATATATATTGCCATATATATCTAGGAACATATCCGTGCCAAATTCTTCCTGACATATTGCACTGGCTCTTTAATTGCATAAAATAAATCAGAAAATGTAAATAACTAGTTCTAGAAAACAAATACAAAGGGTGTTTATTTTTGAGATTTGATACAGCCATTACAACACACAGTCATAATGCCAGCCAAGACAAAATTACAATGCCTAGTCTCAACTTTCTAGACCCCTCTTCACTCTGATTCTCAATTGCTCTTGTCCTATCAGACCTTGTAGCAGCAAATATGAGATACTCATTTATAACTTTGTAGGATGGCTAAGCCAATGTATTACAGCTCTCAAGGGTAAAACCCTATTCCCAGTATAAATTTAGCCTCTCATTACAGTGAAAAAAGGTTTTTATGGCAGTAAACTCAGTTCTCTGATAGCCTAACACAGTTGCTTCAACTAAAAAAAAAGAATTGATTGCAAGTTAATTTATACCTTCTTAAAGGAGCTCTGGTAGCGTAGTGGTTACGAATAGGGCTGCTAACCTCAAGGTCAGCAGTTCTAAACTACCAGTGGTTCCGCAGGAGAAAGATGAGGCGTTCTGCTCCCGTAAAGATTTACAACCTCGGAAACCCTGTGCAGGGTCACTATGAGTCGGAACCGACTCCACGGTACTTAACAACAACAACATAGTAGCCAATGTAGTTCTCTGAACATAATATATACTTCAGCATTTTTCCTTATCAACAAAGTCTAGATTTAAAACAAGAAAATACTCAAACTAATGCAGCATTAACTTAAAAAAAAAAAATCACCTTAATGTCCAAATCTAAGAAAATGTCTCTCATTTATATTAGTAGTTCTCCACCAAAAGTATTTTCAAGTTCAGCTAAACTGTATGAGGGGACTTCAAAAAGTTGTTGGAAAGTGGGATCAAAAGATAATGATGATACCCACGTGACCTGGATGGGATAACTGGATGATCGGGGCTCAACCAGAAGAGGAAAGAAGAGGGGAAAAAAAAAAAAAAAAAAAGAGTGAGCTAATACAGTCTGATGAACTTGACCTATACCTATGGACCTATGGAGTAGCGACTCAAAAGAGGGAACAAATCCTCACAGCAACAAACATTCACACACACAGAGTGGACAGAGAAGGGCAGCTTGGACATTAGATATTCAAATGGGGAGGTGAGGACTACAAAGGCAAGAAGTGACTGGCTTACAAGCTTTCAAGAGGGAACCTGGTGCTAGGGAGCATGGCAGAAGGCAGAATCTCCAGTAGGTACTATTCAATCTGTCTGGGCGGAGCTGATGAAAGGAAATACAGATGGGTAACTCATGATACTGTAGTGAATAATGCTTATCAGGGCGGACTATGAAGGTTGGAAATGCAAAGGTAGAAGTTTTGTAACGAGGAAGGGAGTGATTAATTCTCCAGGATAGGAGCAGAGGCCTCTGGGACCATCAACGGAGAAAAGCCAAGAGCGGAACCCTACTCAGAGAAACAGAGATGCCTGAGATAGAGGCAGAGATGATGACGTGGAGTGATGAAGAGACTGGGGACTTTGGACCCAGAGAGGGAAAGGGACTGTGGGCCGAAAGCTGGGGGGAGGAGGGGGAAGTGTAGAGGCGGATTTCTGGGATATACCCTTTGAGTGGTTGATGATGCATGGAGGGGATTGGAACCATGGCAATGAGATGATATACAATGGAATGAATGTAAAACTAAAGTTCCCCCATGTAAACTATCATATAATTCACAATAAAACATTAAAAAAAAAAAAAAAAAACTGGAATTTTCCCACAGACTATTTGAAGCACCCTCACAACTATCATGAGAGTGACAATAATATCTCAGGTATCTACAACCAATGTTTCACACAAAGAAGGCACTCAGTAAATGTTTAGAGAATGATTGAGTTTAATTTTTTAATATATTTATTAACCAAAAAAGTCCTTTAATTTCTAAGTTACAGAGCACCATGAACTGCATCTGAAAAAAGTATATAAATTCTTTAAAACTTTGTTCCTTTTTTTCATATTACTATGGTTTTTGTTTTTGTTTTTTTAACTTTTAAAGGTGCTTACACTCTTTCCATCTTAACACAACTGTTTTCATTTTTACAGCAGTCCTCTTAGCCTTCATTTACATGCATATATGTATTTTATATGGTGGTGGTGGTGGTTGTGGTGGTTGTGGTTGTTGTGATGTGCCATGGAGTCGGTTCCGACTCACAGCGACCCTGTACAGGGTTTCCGAGGCTTTAAATCTTTATGAGAGGAGATAATTCTGATTTATTAAACCACTTTCCTATAAACACTTAAATTATCTGAAGAAATGGTCCAACAAACATTAGACAATAAGTTTTAAGGCCACTTGTGACATTTAGTGAGTATCTGCAGTCCTATTATTTGTAATACACAAAATTATGACGATGTAAATGTCAAACAATTGAGGATCTGGTGTAGTGCTGTAGGATAGTCACAGGACTGTAAGGTCATTTGAACTGCAAGGTCAGCAATTCAAACTCACCAGCTGCTCCTCAGAAACCCTACAGAGGGTAGGTACAAGTCGGAACCAACTCAATGACATTTAACAACAACAATGTAAATATCCCCGAATAATATAATAATTATTTAATTATATTATGGTAAGTTTCAAAGCATGATATAATATTCCTTTTGTTTTAAATACATATATATAAGTATGTATATGTGATCTGTATATGTATACACATACACACAAGAACACTTCAAAAAGTTTGAAAAAATTTTTAAGCCTCTTCATATATACACACACATATAAACATGTAAGAATACACAATGATATATACATCATACTATTAACACAATTGTCCCTAGATAAGCAGGATTATGGGTATTCTTTATATTGTTCCAATACTCATTTACAGTTTTTTTCTTGTTAGTTCTGGGTTTTTTTTCTGTATAACAAGCTCACCTAACTGTGTAATAATTAATTTTTCAACTGACTTAATATATCCTATACTATATAATTTTTATGTTGTATTTTCTCTCTTGCTAATCACTTATTCTCATCATATTTTTAGATTATCCAACTTTTTGCCATTTTAAAGAACTCAACAGAAACAACTGGCAAAAGCTGATTAAAAGTAAAAAAGCAAAATAGGAGAAAACTCTAAAAAAAGGAATTTTGAAATTTCTTAAAGAGAAAAAGTGACTCCAAGGCATGCCAAAATCATTAATATTTTGAAACCAGTTAACCAGAGACTATTAATTTTTTAACCAAGTTGTTCTTATGCTTTCAATTAACCCAATTCTGAATATATAAACAAACCACCATTATTTATATCTCCCCAAATTTCCCAGTATTTGGAAATGATATATAATCTACTGGGATTCTGCCCATGCCTGCATGTACATCAAGTAAACATCTATTTCATGCCTTCAATAATGTGCTGCCTTCTCTGTGAAGTACTCCTCAGGGAAGACAGGGGTACCCATTCCTATATGTACCCATCTTGTACATATTTCCACTGCATATTTACCATATTATTAAGTAAATGAGTCCTGGTATAGTGCTGCAGGATAATGCACTGGACCACAAGGTCGGTTTGAACCGCAAGGTTCGTAGTTCCAGCCCACCATCAGCTCCTCTGAAACTCTATCCAGGGTTACTAAGAGTTGGAACAAATTCAATGATACTTAACAAGAACAATTAAGTAAATAAGGATTCAGGTAGCACTGTCAGGTAAGCACTGGACTGCTAACCACATGGCTGGAGGTTTAAAACCACCAGCTGCTCCACAGGAGAAAGATCTGGCTGTCTAATCCCAAAAAAAGTGGCAGTATCAGAAACCTTGTATAGGGTTACTATGAGTCAGAAATGATTCAATGGCAGTGAGTTTGGTACTGTTTTTGTAAGAAGCCCTATTATAATAATGGTTAAACACTTTGAGATGCAAAAGGTTGGCATTTGAACTCATCCAGAGCTCTCTAGGAGAAAGATCTGGCAACCTGCTCCCATACAGAGGACAGCCTAGGAAACCCCACAGAACAATTCTACTCTTCAGACTGGGTAACTATCAATCAAAATTTTACTCAATGGCACCTAACAACAACAGAAATGTAAATGTCTATCTCTTTCATTAAACTGTAAGTTCCTTGAAAGCAAAGACCATGCTTCTCATTTTTATAATTCATGCCTTATCCCTAAAACAGTATTAAGTATATAATATTAATAAAACTTCTTTAATATGACAAAGTATAAATTTGCAATTATTTGTGTTTTGTCATTATATGACACAGTCAGTACAATTCAATAAGTGTTTGTAACTCCCTACTTAGATTTGAGCCATTTATAGAAGATATAAAAGTAAATAAGCATAACATCATTATAAGAAGCTTAAAGTCTAACAACGAGGTTTTGACAAGAATTTAATTATAAAAGACATTGTTATTATCGCTAAGTGCTGTAGAGTCTCAGTTCTGACACACAGCGACTCTGTATAGGGTTTCTGAGGCTTCAAATCTTTTCAGGACCAGGAAACCTCATCTTTCTCCCTCAAAGTGGCTGGCAGGCTTGAACCCCAGACCCTATGGTTTGCAGTCCAGAACGTATCATGTAGAGAACAGAATAAAGTTTATAAGAGATACACAAAGTGCTATATGTATATTGTTGTTAAGTGCCATCGAGTCAGTTCC